AGACAGCCCCCAGGTGGGGAGGAGCAGAGGTCATGGGGATGTAGGGAAAGGGTTTGGGGGCTACTCCCGCAGGGTCACTGTGGGAGACAATTTGTCACTTTCTTACAAAACTAAACATACTCTGACCACAGCATCCAGCAATCCCGCTCCTCAGAGTTTACCAAAATGGGTTGAAAACTTACGTCTACAGAAATCTGCCCACGAATATTTGTAGTGGCTTTATTCATAACTGCCCAAACCTGAGAGCAACCAAGATGTCCTTCCATCATAGATGAAAGGATAAATAAAGCATGGTACATCCAGACAATGCAATATCATTCAGTGTTAAAAAACAAGTGAGCTGGCCAGGCAAGGTGGCTCCCGTCTGTAATCCCAGCACTTTGGGAGGCAGAGGCAGGCGGATCACTTGAGCCCAAGTGTTCAAGACCAGTGTGGGCAACATGGCGAGATCCTGTCTCACAAAAAATACAAAACTTATCGGGGCATGCTGGTGCGCACCTGTAGTCCCAGCTATTTGGGAGGCTGAGGTGAGAAGATTGCATTAGCTCAGGAGGTTGAGGCTGCAGTAACTGTGATTTTGCCATCGCATTCCAGCCTGGGCGACAGAGCAAGACCCTGTCTCAAAAAAAAAAAAAAAAAAAGAAGCTAACTATTAAACCACAAAAGACATGGAAGAACCAAAGTGCATATTACTAAAAAAGAAGTTGAAAAGACTACGTAATGTGTGAGTCCAGCTCTATGACATTTGGAAAAGGCAAAATTCAAGAAACAGTCAAAAGATCCCTGGTGGCCAGGGGCTGGGAGAGGGAGGGATGAAAATGCAGAACACAGATGAATCTTGGGGTGGAGAAACCTGTCTGTACGATATTAGAGTGGTGGGTCTGCATGATTATATGTGTGTCCAAACCTACAGAATGCACAGCACCAGAGGAAAGCCAGATGGAAACTGCAGAGGTGATGACGGTAATAACAATGTGTAACACATGGCTGGGACAGTGGGACTGGGGAAGGCTGTGCACCTACAGGAGCTCCATGGTGGGAGAGCTCCATGCTTTTGGCTCAGTTTTGCTATGAACCTAAAACTGCTGTAAAAAATAAAATCTATTGAAACAACAAGTGTTAATTTACAAGTGTCTCTGTTTAAAGAGCAAAGAGATGAACCACAAAGGGGAAAATGTGTTTAAACAAGAACTAATTGACAATTGGCTCATTCCTAAAGTTCAGAGAACTTTTTTTTTTTTTTTTTTTTTTTGAGACGGAGTCTCGCTCTGTCGCCCAGGCTGGAGTGCAGTGGCGCAATCTCGGCTCACTGCAAGCTCCGCCTCCCGGGTTCACGCCATTCTCCTACCTCAGCCTCCCGAGTAGCTGGGACTACAGGCGCCCGCCACTGCGCCCGGCTAATTTTTTTTCTATTTTTTAGTAGAGACGGGGTTTCACCATGGTCTCCATCTCCTGACCTTGTGATCCGCCCGCCTCGGCCTCCCAAAGTGCTGGGATTACAGGCGTGAGCCACCGCGCCCGGCCAGAGAACTTTTAAGAAAGAGACAGCAAAGCAGGGATCACGTTTTACAAACACGACAGGACCAGGACATCGTGCCCACGATGGGACAGCAACCACAGGCTGGATGTTCACCCCGTGCCAGTCTGTGGACGGAGAGCACCACCCCGACCTCCAGCCCCCAGAGGAGCTGCCTCCTCAGGGCCTTCCTGCAGGCGCCCAGGGGCTGCACATGGCCCTCCTTAGGGGGCGCTAGTGACTCATCATTTTCATTTCCTAGAAACTGAGGCTCATGGGAGATATGCAGATGAGCCCAGAGCACCATGGGAAATGGCCCTTTATATACACAGATGGGCTCTGCCTCCTCCTTTCCCTGGGTGCCCACATGAGCAGAGACACCAGGACGGTGAGGTCTCCCGAGAAGGGTCTCGGAGACACGGCCTGGTGCTGGGTGAGGGATTGGGAGGCTGAAGAGGGGCCAGGATTCCTCAGGTTCCCTCAGTTTCCTTCAAGTTCCCCTCAGATTCCCTCAATTTCCCTCAGGTTCCCCCAGTTTCCCTCAAGTTCCCCTCAGGTTCCCTCAGTTTCCCTCAGTTTCCTTCAAGTTCCCCTCAGATTCCCTCAATTTCCCTCAGGTTCCCCCAGTTTCCCTCAAGTTCCCCTCAGGTTCCCTCAGTTTCCTCAGAAAGTTTCCTTCCAGTTCCTCAGATTCCCTCAATTTCCCTCAGGTTCCCCAGTTTCCCTCAAGTTCCTCAGGTTCCTCAGTTTCCTCAGTTTCCTTCAAGTTCCCTCAGATTCCCTCAATTTCCCTCAAGGTTCCCCCAGTTTCCCTCAAGTTCCCCTCCAGGTTCCCTCAGTTTCCTCAGTTTCCTTCAAGTTCCCTCAGATTCCCTCAATTTCCCCTCAGGTTCCCAGTTTCCCTCAAGTTCCTCAGGTTCCCTCAGTTTCCCTCAGTTTCCTTCAAGTTCCTCAGATTCCTCATTTCTCAGTAGGTTCCCCAGTTTCCCTCAGTTTCCTTCCAAGTTCCTCAGATTCCCTCAATTTCCCTCAGGTTCCCAGTTTCCTCAAGTTCCCCTCAGGTTCCCTCAGTTTCCCTCAGTTTCCTTCAAGTTCCTCAGATTCCTCAATTTCCCATAAGTTCCCCCAGTTTCCCTCAAGTTCCCCTCAGGTTCCCTCAGTTTCCCTCAGTTTCCTTCAAGTTCCCCTCAGATTCCCTCAATTTCCCTCAGGTTCCCCCAGTTTCCCTCAAGTTCCCCTCCAGGTTCCTCAGTTTCCCTCAGTTTCCTTCAAGTTCCCCTCAGATTCCCTCAATTTCCCTCAGGTTCCCCCAGTTTCCCTCAAGTTCCCCTCAGGTTCCTCAGTTTCCTCAGGTTCCCAGTTTCCCTCAGGTTCCTCCAGTTTCCCTCAGTTTCCCTCAGGTTCCCCCAGTTTTCTCAGGACCCAGTTTGTGTCAGGTTTCTTCAGGTTCCCCAGTTTCCCTCCAGGTTTTCTCAGGTTCCCCCAGGTTCCTCAAGTCCCCTCAAGCTCTGCCAGTTTCCTCAGGTTCCCCCAGTTTCCCTCAGTTTCCCTCAGGTTTCCTCAAGTTCCCTCAGTTTCCCTCAGGTTCCCCCAGTTTCCCTCCAGATACTGGTTTCCCCCAGTTTCTCTCAAGGTTCCCTCAGTTCCCCAGTTTTCTCTCAGGTTCCCCCAGTTTGTGTCAGGTTTCTTCCAGGTTCCCCCAGTTTCCCTCAGGTTCTCTCCAGGTTCCCCCAGGTTCCCTCAAGTCCCTCAAGTTCTCTCAGGTTCCCCCAGGTTCCCTCAAGTCCCCTCAAGCTCTGCCAGTTTCCCTCAGGTTCCCCCAGTTCCCTCAGTTCCCTCAGGTTTCTCCAAGTTCCTCAGTTTCCCTCATGTTCCCCCAGTTTCCCTCAGGTTCCTTCAGTTTCCCCCAGTTTCCCTCAGTTTCCCCCAGTTTCTCTCAGGTTCCCCCAGTTTCCTTCAGTTTCCCCCAGTTTCTAGGTTCCCAGGTTCCCCCAGTTTGTCATCACATTTCTTCAGAGTTCCCCCAGTTTCCTCAGGTTCTCTCAGGTTCCCCAGGTTCCTCAAGTCCCCTCAAGCTCTGCCCAGTTTCCCTCAGGTTCCCCCAGTTTCCTCAGTTCCCTCAGGTTTCCTCAAGTTCCCTCAGTTTCCTCAGGTTCTCCCAGTTTCCTCAGGTCCTTCAGTTTCCCTCAGGTTTCCTCGGTTTCCCTCAGAGTTCCCCAGTTTCCCTCAGGTTCTCTCAGGTTCCCTCAGTTTCCTTCAGGTTCCCTCAATTTTCGCAGCCCCAGTTTCCCTCAAGTTCCCCTCAGGTTCCCTCAGTTTCCCTCAGGTTCCCCCAGTTTCCCTCAGTTTCCCTCAGGTTCCTCCAGTTTCCCTCAGTTTCCCTCAGGTTCCCCCAGTTTCTCTCAGGTTCCCCCAGTTTGTGTCAGGTTTCTTCAGGTTCCCCCAGTTTCCCTCAGGTTTTCTCAGGTTCCCCCAGGTTCCCTCAAGTCCCCTCAAGCTCTGCCAGTTTCCCTCAGGTTCCCCCAGTTTCCCTCAGTTTCCCTCAGGTTTCCTCACAGTTTCCTCAGGTTCTCTGTGGTCTCCAGGTTCCCTCAAGTCCCCTGCCCTTCTGGTTCCCCCATGGTTCCTCAAGTCCCCTCAAGCTCTGCCAGTTTCCTCACAGGTTCCCCAGTTTCTCAGTTTCCTCAGGTTTCTAAGTTCCCCAGTTTCCTCAGGTTCCCAGCTTCTCAGGTCCCTTCAGTTTCCTCAGTTTCTCTCTTGTGTTCCCTTGCTTCCAGCTTTCCTCTGTGGTTCCCCAGTTTGTGTCAGGTTTCTTCAGGTTCCCCCAGTTTCCCTCAGGTTCTCTCAGGTTCCCAGGTTCCCAAGTCCTCAAGTTCTCAGGTTCCCAGGTTCCCCAAGTCCCCTCAAGCTCTGCCAGTTTTCAGGTTCCCCAGTTTCCTCAGTTTCAGGTTTCCTCACCTCAGTTTCCTCATGTTCCCCCCAGTTTCCTCAGGTCTTCAGTTTCCCCAGTTTCAGTTTCCCTCAGTTTCCCCAGTTTCTCTCAGGTTCCCAGTTTCCTTCCAGTTTCCCCAGTTTCTCTCAGGTTCTGATTTCCAGTTTGTGCTCTTCTACATTTCTTCAGGTTCCCCCAGTTTCAGGTTCCTTCAGTTTCCCCAGTTTCCTCAGTTTCCCTCAGTTTCCCCCCAGTTTCTCTCAGGTTCCCCCAGTTTCCTTCAGTTTCCCCCAGTTTCTCTCAGGTTCCCGGGTTCCCCAGTTTGTGTCACATTTCTTCAGGTTCCCCCAGTTTCCTCAGTTTCCTCAGGTTTCCCAAGTTCCTCAGTGCATGTTCCCCAGTTTCCCTCAGGTCCCTTCAGTTTCCCTCAGGTTTCCCTCAGTTTCCCTCAGGTTCCCCCAGTTTCCCTCAGGTTCTCTCAGGTTCCCTCAGTTTCCTTCAGGTTCCCTCAATTTTCATGAGGTCCCCTCAGGCTCTGCCAGTTTTCCTCAGGTTCCCCCAGGTTCTGTCAGGCGAGGCTGACAGGGTGTTGGGGTCCCTGAGGTGTAGGGGGTGGATGATGAGCCCGGGGAGGTCGGATGGAGGAACTGAAGGCTTCCCAGCCCCGGTGCTGTTCAAACTGAGTAGGGTCCCCACTAAAGGGCCAATCTGAACCCTGACATCCCTGCCCCTGCTGGTCCCCACAGTTCGCTCCACCCTGCCTGCTGGGGGTGCCTAACCTCCCTTCCTTTGCCTTTCCAGCTCCCCAAGACCATAGCAACTGCAGAAGCTGAAGACATTTCCAGAAGTTCAAGCTTCCACCCTCTGCAGGTCCCCACTGAGCTGGGACCCAGGTCATCCACTCCACCCCAAATCCCTGGATAGGAAACCCCTTTCTCCTCCTGCTCCTCGTCCCCTTCATCCCTGCCCCCCAGCATCCTACTGGCCCCAGCACCTGAGGCCAGACTGTCTGAGATCCTCTGAAGGCCAGACTTGCTGTCCACCCCGGTAGAAGGCAGGCAGCCTGGCCATGTGCCCTCCGGTCAGCGTGCGGTATGAGGAAGAGGGCCTGTCCTACCTCTACGCCTCCTGGATGTATCAGCTTCAACATGGAGATCAGCTAAGCATTTGCTTCACTTGCTTCAAGGCTGCCTTTCTAGACCTTAAAGACTTGCTGGAGTCAGAGGACTGGGAAGAAGACAACTGGGACCCTGAGCTGATGGAGCACACTGAGGCAGAGTCGGAGCAGGAGGGGTCCTCAGGGATGGAGCTGAGCTGGGGGCAGAGCCTAGGACAGCCTGCGCAGGAGGGCTCTGAGGCATGGGGGCTAGGGACCCTGGCACCAGCCCCAGAAGGGTTGGAAGATGCAGGTCTGGACCCCCACTTTGTGCCCACTGAACTAGGGCCTCAGGAGGCTGTACCCCTGGGCCTGGGCCTTGAGGATGCTGACTGGACCCAGGGTCTGCCCTGGAGATTTGAGGGGCTTCTTACCTGCTCACATTGGCCAAGCTCCTTTCCTTCATAGCAGGGGTTTCTCAAAGTGGACCTGCCCCCAGGGGAGCCCATGGTGTTGGGGCTGGGCATTACCTGGGCAGTGGACCCTGCCGAGGATGAGGCCTGGTTACTGGCCCTGTAGCTTGTCTCCATGGTGGGCTGCTATGATGCCACCTACCTGCAGAAGATGACCCCAGACAGGGCCCTGAGGACCCCAGGGCAGCACTGGAAATTGCTGCTGGAGCCTGGTGAAGTGTGGGTGGTGAGACTCCAAGATGTTCCCCAAGAGCAGGACCTGCACTGGTGGACACTGAGCTTTCTAGAAACATCCTCAACAGGACACAGAGCAGAGCTGGCCCCTGCAGCCTCAGCCCTGCAGAAGAGGATTCACCATAGTCTCTTACTCACCCTGGACCAACAGGGAGAGAAAGAAGGGGGACTCGGCCTGTAAGCCACAGTCCTCCAGTCAAGAACAGGATCCCAGCACCCCTGAGACACACAGCAGGGGTCCTGAAGAAAGCCTGGCTGTTACAGGAGCCTCAGCCATGGGGGAGCTGCCCTGTTTCCAGCCTCAGTCCAGCGCTCCAGAACTGAGAGACTAAGACTCATGTAGCTGCCATTGTCCTGGGTATACCAGGACATCAGAGACTGGGAAGGGCCAGCAATTGCTCTTCCATTACAGCCAGGGGAGCAGTTGGCAAAGGATAGGCCCTTTGCCCGTGGAAACAAGGGGAGCAACTTTAGGGGCTGGGACATAGGGCCTGCTGTGGCCTCAGAGGGAAGCATTACAAATATTTGTAACCTGGAAACAAGTTCTTATTAGTTGATTGTCATATAGTTCTGGACGTGTTGGCCTGAATGGCTATTGTGCTGCTTGTGACATGGGGCGCAGGGCACAGAATTTGTGCCTATTTCACCTTGGTCATGGGGAGGGACATTGCTTGTAAAACACACGCTCTGCAGAACACACCAGAATCTGTTGTGACCTGGACATGTTCTCGACTTTGCCAGGACAATCTCAGGGGTGCCACAAGACCCCATCGGCAGCACTAGGGTCTCTGGTCTACGGTGGAGGGAGAGCTGGTTTCAAACATTGGCCGTTGATGCAATTTAACCATTTAATTCCTGTTGCTCTATATGTTGTTTTTAATTTTAAAAAGTCATAAAAGCTTTCAATCAAGCTCCTGTGTAAGTCATTCCTCAGCACGTTTTGTTGATTGGCCTTATCCTTGTCCTCTCAGAATCTGGGCTAAGCCACCTTTGCTGGCTTGAAATCCCACTAGGTGGTGGGAACAGAGGACAGAAGGGAAGAGGAGCATGGGAGAGATGAGGGTTCTGGTCGGTTTTCAGGCTCATCATGGGAGTTTGTTTCACTTTGTTTATTTATTTATTTATTTATTTATTTATTTATTTATTTATTTATTGTTTTGAGATGGAGTCTCGCTCTGCTGCCCAGGCTGGAGTGCAGTGGTGTGCACTCAGCTCACTGCAAGCTCCACCTCCCAGGTTCATGCCATTCTCCTGCCTCAGCCTCCCGAGTAGCTGGGACTACAGGCACCTGCCACCACGCCCAGCTAATTATTTGTATTTTTAGTAGAGACGGAGTTTCACCATGTTAGCCAGAATGGTTTCGATCTCTTGACCTCCTGATCCATCCGCCTCGGCCTCCCAAACTGTTGGGATTACAGGCATGAGCCACCGTGCCCGGCCTCACATTATTTATAAATACAGGGCCAGGCACAGTGGCTCATGCCTGTAACCCCAGCACTTTGGGATTGCTTCAGCCCAGGAATTCGAAACCAGCCTCGGCATTTTATTGTTAGTAGAGATTTCATCTTTACTAACAATAAAAAAAGTTAGCTGGGCGTGGTGGCACATACCTGTAGTCCCATCTACTCAGGAGGCTGAGGCAGGAGGATTGGTTGAGTCCAGGAGGTCAAGGACCGCAGTGAGCTATGATTGTGCCACTGCACTTCAGCCTGGGTGACAGAGCAAGACCCTGTATCAAAAAATAAAATAGGCCAGGCAAGGTGGCACATACCTGTAATCCCAGCACTTTGGGAGGCCAAGGCAGGTGGATCACTTGAGTTCAGGAGTTTGAGACCAACCTGGGCAACATGGCGAAACACTATCTCTACAAAAAATACAAAAATTAGCCAGGCGTGGTGGTGTGTGCCTGGAGTCTCAGCTACTTGGAAGGCTGAGGTGGGAGGATTGCTTAAGCCTGGGAGTTCAGGCTTCAGTGAGCCAAGATCGTGCCACTACACTCCAGCCTGGCAACAGAGTGAGACCCTATCTCAAAAAATAAAAACAGGCCAGGCATGGTGGCTCACGCCTGTAATCCCAGCACTTTGCGAGGCCAAGGCAGGCGGATCACAAGGTCAGGAGATCGAGACCATCCTGGCTAACACAGTGAAACCCTATCTCTACTAAAAATACAAAAAATTAGCCAGGCGCGGTGGCGGGTGCCTGTAGTCCTAGCTACTCAGGAGGCTGAGGCAGGAGAATGGCGTGAACCCGGGAGGCGGAGCTTGCAGTGAGCTGAGATTGCACCACTGCGCTCCAGACTGGGCGACAGAGCGAGGCTCCGTCTCAAAAAAAAAAAATAATAATAATCATAAAATAAAAAATAAAATAAAAATAAACAAAAATATATACTTAAAGAAGGGCCATGTTTTGAACAATAAGAGTGTGTTGTCAAACATATAATTTAATATAGATATGTGCCCCAAAATTTTTTTTAAGTCTATAGACCAAATCACATGTAAAGGTTGCTAATGTTGGCCGGGCGCGGTGGCTCACGCCTGTAATCCCAGCACTTTGGGAGGCCGAGGTGGGCGGATCATGAGGTCTGGAAATCGAGACCATCCTGGCCAACATGGTGAAATCCTGTCTCTACTAAAAATACAAAAATTAGCCAGGCGTGGTGATGCGTACCCGTAATCCCAGCCACTCGGGAGGCTGAGGCAGGAGAGTCGTTTGAACCCGGGAGGCGGAGGTTGCAGTGAGCCAAGATCGTGCCATTGAACTCCAGCCTGGGTGAGAGAGTGAGACTCCATCTCAAAAAGAAAAAAAAAAAAAAGTTTGCTAATGGTCAGGAGACGGATGATGCCAATGATGATGATGGCTATGATGGTGGTGATGGTTCTAGTGGCGGTGGTGACGATGGTGATGGAGATAGTGAAGATGGTAAAGGCCCACAGGAAGAGACCTGATGGATAAACGGCTCTGCCTTCTTGGATTTGGCTGCTGCTGAGGCCCCTCCATAGTTTCAGCATCGGGGGCCTCTGCTGCTGTCAGACATGGATGGGGATGATAGTCCTTCAAGAAGGAGGTGGGACCCCTGACCTCCTTGTCTGCCAGGAAAGCAGGAAGGGGAATGACCATGCTGAGGGGGGAGGAACCCCACACTGTTACATGACACGGGGTTAGTTTGGCCCCATGGCGTGGTACACACATGTGCCTTTGGTTGTACGCTTGCAAGAAAAATCTGGGGCCCCTGGGGTTTCTGCCCTCACCCCAGCCCTGACTCCAACCTTTGGAATCCCTGGAAGAGCTTTCTAGAGCTCTGCATCCAGCCTCTTCACTCGGGACGTGAGGTTTCTTGAATCCTAAACTGGAACCTTTTCCCGAAGGTCAGCCGGCTTTCAAGTGGCCTCATGGGGGCAGGGAGGCTGTAGTGTGGGGACCCCGGGGGGCCCCCAAAAGTTGATTCTGAGAAAAGACTATTATGTGCACTAGACAGTTCTCACTCTCCTACATTTGAGCTTTCCCGAGCTTGGACATTTTAAGTCAGGGGAAGGGCTCTGAGTTCCACATTGTCTCCTGCCAGCTTCAGCCCTTCCATCACCTGTGATTGCTCAGATGTCTGAGGCTCTCCACTAATTAATAGGGCCGCCGCCAGCTGGAGACCCGTGCACGTTCTAATTGGTTTGATTTATGTTAGCATCTCGCCAGCTGTGTCTCATACCTGGAGGTGTCTGAGACCAAGATTGGGGAAATCGTGGTGCCTGAGGTTGAAATTAAGGGAAAATACCAACAGCAGCATCAAGGGAAGTGTCTCCTGGAAGAATAAAGTGAAACCACCAACTGTAGAGGTGCTCTGGGAGAGGTGGGAGGCCCTGCAGGGGTGTCCCCCGGGACCTCCTTCCAAAAGACAGAGCCCTCAGCTCTGGGTAATGAAGTGGGCCCACGCCCCCTGGGCAGGATCCCAGGCTGCTGATGGCTGATGGCTGAGCTCTGGTTGGGGCTTTAAGGGCCTGGCCATTTCTGCAAGGCCCAGTCTTTGCTCCTCATGAGGTTCCCTAACTCCATCTGGGGTGCACTCAGCCTAGTTGCCCCCACCCCTCACTTTTATTCCCTTATTTATTTTTATTTTTATTTTATTTTTATAGAGACAGGGTCTCACTATGTTGCTCGGGCTGGCCTTAAACTCCTGGGCTCAAGTGATCCTCCCACCTCAGCCTCCCAAAGTGTTAGGATTACAGGTATGAGCCACTGCGCCCCGCCACGTTCCCTTATTTTCATCAAGCATCTCCACCCCAGTGTCTGTGGCAGAATGGGCCTCTGGTGTCTGAGCACCTGGGAGGTGGAGTGGGTTCTGAACAAAGCACCCTCTTCAAGTCTGAAAAACACAAACATCAGGCTGGATAGGCACCTGAAAAGAGACCCATGAAACCACCTCCATCTGCGGAACCTTATTTTGTACAGAATTTAGTAATCCAGTTGGAAAGTAGTTCTTTCAGAAAAATTATCATTGCAAAACATAATGAACCCATTAAGTGCAGAGCAAAGCTTCAGAAGTCACATTTGTGGAAAATGGGAGCTTTATGATTATGATTTATGATTTAATGGCCCATAAAGTGAATCATAGGCTTACACTAAAGCGCTGGCATTACAGGTGTGAGCCACCGCACCCGACCTTACACAATAACAAAGAACTTTCCAACTGTGTAATTTCACTCACCCTTCTTCAGAGACCTGGTGCTATCGTTGCCGTGGATATTCACCTGCACGTGTCATCATCATCGTGTGCCACCAGAGCTGTTGCTGCACAATCCTCATTTTTTTTTTTTTTTTTTGAGACGGAGTCACGCTCTGTCGCCCAGGCTGGAGTGCGGTGGCGCAATCTCAGCTCACTGCAAGCTCCGCTTCCCAGGTTCACGCCATTCTCCTGCCTCAGCCTCCCGAGTAGCTGGGACTACAGGCACCCGCCACCACGCCCGGCTAATTTTTTTGTATTTGTAGTAGAGACGGGGTTTCACCGTGTTAGCCAGGATGGTCTCGATCTCCTGACCTCATGATCCGCCCGCCTCGGCCTCCCAAAGTGACAGTCCTCATATTTTTAATTTACAAACATATTTACTTTCCTGGTGCACTTCATTTTTCCACGCACTTCCTAGTTTCTATCTGGGGTCGTCTTCTGTCAGCAGACGGAAAGCCTGGAGGACTCCTTTAATATTTTTTGTGCTGCCACAAATGTTCTTAGCTTTGTCTGAAAATATCTTTATTTTATCGTACATAAATTATTGGTTAAAATCCTTTATTTTGGTACTTTAAAGAGGTCATTCTCTTCTGGTTTCCATGGTTTTCTGAGGAGATCTAGCCATCTCTCCTATTGTTATTCCCTGAATGTACTGTCTTTTTTTTTTTAATCTCAATAATTTTTGCAGTTTCTGTTTACCTTTGGTTTTCAGAATTTTTTTACTGTAATGTGCTGGAGTGGTTTGCTTTCAGTTTTTTCCTGCTTGTGATTTACTAAAATTCTAATGTCTGTCAGTTGACACTGCTTATCAATTTTGAAAATTTCAGCCACTGCCTTTGCAGATATTGCTCCTGCCCCATTTTCCTTTGTCATTGTTCTGGGGACTCCAGGGACGTGTAGGTCAGATCATTTGACGGTGTGGTTCCACATGCTTTTCTGTTTTTCATTCTCTTCTCTTTCTGTGTCTGGATAATTTCTATTGACCTACCTTTAAGTTACCTGATTCTTCTGCTGTGATTTCTGAATTTTAGATACTGTACTTTTAAAGTTATAAAATGTCCATTTGACCCTTGTGAGAAACGAACTCATCCATTCAAATCCAAAGAATGGACTCAGGGACCTGGAGAACCACGAAAGCCGGACTTTTAATGACGGTCTTGCAAGATTGGGTGTCTGGTGGGCAGGCGCACCCAGAAGTTTCAACAAGCAATTTATCCCCTAGTGCACAGGTCCCTCCCCTGGTTCCTCATAGGCTGAGTACTATGAGGTCACAGTCTTCCCAGACATCACTGATTGGTTGTTGGGCAGGGGCTGGAGGGCGCAGGTCCCTCCCCAGGTTCCTCATAGGCTGGGTACTCTGGGGGTCACAGTCTTCCCAGATGTCGTCTATTGGCTGTTGGGCAGGTGCCGTAGGTGTTTTCTTTAGGGTTGTCCTGCTGCATTTTGTTGCAGCCCACAATGCATTGCAATCCTAGTCAGCTCAGGGGCTCTTTAAGTATCTGACTTATGACCCAAGTAGCTGGGCAGGCTGATAAGAACATACCAAACAAGCTATTTTGCAGGCTAGTAAACTTTCATCTTAAACTTCTTTGATTTGGGTGAGGGCAACTAAGAGGGGTTTAAGAGGGGAGTGGGTGAGGCCGACAAGCAGGCATCCACTATCCAAGCTGGGGCCTAGTATATCCTGTTCTTCTGTAGTTTGCTGACCTAAGCCGATTCAAGGCACTTTGTCTTGGAAATGGACCACTGTATACATTAGTTCCTTCACCATTTAAAATTTTTCTTTATAAATAGAAATGGGTGGTCTCACTATGTTGCCCAGGCTGGTCTCAAACTTCTAGACTCGAGCGATCCTCCTGCCTCAGTTTTCAAAAGTACTAGGATTGGCCGGGCCTGGTGGCTCATGCCTGTAATCCCAGCACTTTGGGAGGCCGAGGTGGGCAGATCACAAGGTCAGGAGTTCAAGACCAGCCTGGCCAAGATAGTGAAAGCCTATCTCTACTAAAAATACAAAAATTAGTCAGGTGTGGTGGTGCATACCTGTAATCCCAGCTACTCGGGAGGCTGAGGCAGAGAATTGCTTGAACCTGGGAGGCAGAGGTTGCAGTGAGCCAAGATCACGCCATTGCACTCCAGCCTGGGTGACAGAGCGAGACTCCATCTCAAAAAAAAAAAAAAAAAAAAAAAACTGCTGAGATTACAGGGTGAGCCACAGTGCCCAGCCTGGGAATTTCTAAAAAAATTGTCAAATGGGGTTGGCCATAGTGGCTGTGCAACATGGTGAAACTCGTCTCTGCAAAAAATACAAAAATTAGCTGAGTGTAGTGTAGCAGTGCACCTCTGTAGTCCCAGCTACTCGGGAGGCTGAGGTAGGAGAATTGCTTGAGCATAGGAAGTCAAAGAAAGCTGTGGTGATGCCACCGCACTCCAGCCTGGGCAAGCCTAGGCTAGACTTTAGGGTGAGACCCTGTCTCAAATAAATAAATACACTCCCATTTTCTGGTGAAAATTTCCATCTTTTCATCCATGTTGCCCAGGTTCTTCTGCTTGCTTTACTATATTTATAATAGTTTTTGTAAAATAGAAACTCCTGGTCTGCTAATTCCAATACTTGTGTCACATATGGACCTGCTTCTATTGGCTATTTTTCCCTATCAATTATGGATGACATGAGATGTGATATAAATAATAATCAGATTATTATTTCCTTGCTGAAGCATTTTGTACATAGCAACTGTCAAAGTCAAAATAAAATATACAGACAAATCTTTAAGTTTAATGTTCAATTTTAGGAAGAATTTCAATTCGGTACGTTCAAGAACAAAAGAAAATTGGAATTCTATTGGAAAGAGAAATGTTTTCTATTGCTTTGAAAGAAAGCGGGCCGGGCGCGGTGGCTCAAGCCTGTAATCCCAGCACTTTGGGAGGCCGAGACGGGCGGATCACAAGGTCAGGAGATCGAGACCATCCTGGCGAACACGGTGAAACCCCGTCTCTACTAAAAATACATAAAAAACTAGCCGGGCGTGGTGGCGGCGCCTGTAGTCCCAGCTACTCGGGAGGCTGAGGCAGGAGAATGGCGTAAACCCGGGAGGCGGAGCTTGCAGTGAGCTGAGATCCGGCCACTGCACTCCAGCCTGGGTGACAGAGCAAGACTCCGTCTCAAAAAAAAAAAAAAAAAAAAAAAAAGAAAGAAAGCCCATTGGCCCTGGTAGTTCTGGGGAACTGGCAAACTCTGGCGAGTGGCCTTGGTGGTAAAACCAGCATTGCAGGCCAGGCGCGGTGGCTCACGCCTGTAATCCTAGCACTTTGGGAGGCTGAGGCGGGTGGATCACCTGAGCTCAGGAGTTTGAGACCAGCCTGGCCAACAAGATGAAACTCCATCTCTACTAAAAATACAAAAAGTAGCTGGGTGTGGTGGCAGGTGCCTGTAATCCCAGCTGCTCGGGAGGCTGAGGCAGGAGAATCGCTTGAACCTGGGAGGTGGAGGTTGCAGTGAGCCGAGATCCCACCACTGCGACTCCAGCCTGGGTGAAAGAGCGAGACTCCATCTAAGAAAAAAAAAAAAAAAAAAAAAAACCCATAAAACAAAAACCCGGCTTTAGAGTCGGGGCAGGTCACTTCAGCAGCTACTCGGTGAACTGCTTGAGGTGACAGCAGATCATTTCGGCAGCTGGCTTGTGGGAAATTTAATTCTTGGAGCAGGCATTCTGGGTCCTGAGTGCTTTTCCCCAGCCCCAGCCCCTAGACCCCAGCTTAGTAATCAGCCCTCACAGAACCGTCACGTCGGAGGCAACCTTCCATCTCCGTTCCTCCCGCGCACAGGCAGGATGAGCTGCTCCCCTGTCGGGTCAGAAGCTGCAGCTGTCGTTGGTTTCGGTTCGGCTGTTTTCAGCCCACAGAGAACGAACTGTCCTACTGCTCGACCCTCACTCTGCCCAGCGGACGCTCGGAGACCAGACGGACTTTTCCCGCCCCCTCCAGCCCAGCCTGGCCTCCCCAGCACGTGGCAAACGGCCCACGGAGGGGACTGGTGGGCATCTGGGGCTCCCCCGGATCCAGCTTATTGCAGGGGCCTCTCTGCCACTCACTTGGCCACCTCCTCTCCCCCCGCAGAACCCCTTCAGCTGTAGGGGCCGGTCCACGGCCTCAGGCAGCAGGTGAGCCCGGGCGGAGTGGAGGGGGCGAGGCCAGCTCCTCGCTGGGGGTCCCTCAGACCCCGTGTTCACAGCCCTCCAGCGTCTCCTCTAATGTTATGGATGTTCTGTGTCTTTCTTTCAGTGGTCCAGCTTGAGTGACGGCCGCATCCTACCTCCTGGCAGCGAGTGAAACCGAGCGGGGCCAGCACCCAGCTCAGGGGCTCAAGGGTGAGGCCGTGGGGTCCTTCCTCCTACCCTGCGGGGCCCTGCAGCCCCCAGTGTCACTTCCGTGGATGTGGCCGCCACGAGTCCCTGCCGGGGCCTGGAGAGGCTGCGTGGGCTTCTAAGAGCAACTGTGGGAGACCCGCAATGGGGGCGGGGGTCGTCGAGGCCCCCAAAGAGCCCGTCCTCCCCTGCGTGGGTGACTCCATCCCCCCCGCTACCTCCTTTCTATGACCCTCTCGGGGTGTAGGGGTGTTCCCGGCCCCACCTGCGCGCGGGCGGGTGCAGGGCTTGGCGGACACGGAGAATTCCAGGCTCCGTGCCCTGAAAACACGGGCGTGAGGGGCGCAGGGGCGAAGGCTGGAGGCGGAGAACCCAAGAGGGGCTGCGGGGTCGGCCTGGGGCAGCGGGGCTGGAGGCAGCTTCGCTCCGCGGACGTGAGACCCTCCTGGGACCCTTCGCCGACCCGGCTGCGGCCCCAAGCCCCCCGCGTCTTCCCGGCCCCGCGCCGGCAGCGCCGCCCCCCAGGCCCCAGCGCCGTCCTCCCCGCGCCTGCTGCCCGCTGGGGTTATTTTAATACCGGGCGCTGGCGCGGGGCCGCGGCGCATTCCCAGCTGGCGGAGGGCAGGTGGCGGCGGCGCAGGGACCCGGCGCGGGGCTTGGGGCGCGGCTTTTGTGGCGGGACTGGCGGGCGCCCCTGCCGTGCGCTCTGGGAGCCGAGGCCACCGCGGAGCCCCTCGCGCCCCCTCTGCTCCGGGACAGGGGAGCGCGCCTCTGAAAGTTCCCCGCGGCCCCGCTGCGGGAGCTGCCGCCCCGACGCGCGACCCCAGGCTCGGCGGGCAGGTCTGGCGGCTCCGTGACCGGAGGCAGGTGGGTCCTCCGTGGGTGCCTGGGAGCGCGCGGGGACTGCGGGGCCCATGCCCTTCGGGGCCCTCCGCGGGGCTGGGCCGGGGCTTCGCGGTGGGACCCCACCCTGGGCGCTGGGAGCCGGGTCCAGCGAGGCGGCTTCTCCCGAGCCAGGGAACTTTGGGCCCCTCCTCTTCCCTCCTGGCGACCCTGGAGCACGGCCTGGCGTCCACTGTCCCCCTACCCGTGACTCGGGCTCGCGCACAACTGGGGAGCCCGGTGCCCCCCGCCCGCCCCAGCTTCTGGGCCATGCCCTGGGTGAGGGCTCTGGAAACGCCCCGGGTTGGGGCAGCAACGGGTTGAGGGTCCTCTGGACAGATGGAGCTGGGAGGGGAGCTACCCAGCCTAGTGGGAAAGCGGGGGCAGGGCACATTTCCAGGCCCTGGAAGGTCCCCAGCGCTCCCACCTGTTGATGCCACCCCATCCCAGCCAAGACTGCTCCCTGTGCGGCCATGAGTGTTCGGCCTAAATTCAGCGTGGCTCGTGGAATCAGGCAGCCTCCTGTGTTTCTTCTGCCCACCACAGTTCCGTGAGCTTCGTCCAGGCTGCTGACCTCAGCGGTGACTCCTTTTTCACTGGCTTCATGTCACAGTTTGCCGCCCCCTCCACAGGGGACATTCCAGCTGTTTCCAGCTTCTTAGGAGTCAAGCTGCCGTGAACTTTTGCACACTTGTCATTTTCTGGACATTGGCAGTCCTTTATCTAAGGTACAAACCTAAGAGTGGAATTGCGGGGTGAGAAGGTCTAGGCGGTCAACTCTGCAAGTCTTGCCAATGGTTTTCCAAAGCGGCAGTGTAGTCCAGGTTCCCAGCAACAGCAGACGGTGGCACCAGCTCCTCCGCAGCCCCCATGCCTGTTGACGATGTCTGCCTTTTCACGCCTTCATCTTTGTCAGTATGCAGGGGCTTCTGTGGCCATGACTGGCATTTCCCTGCTTGTTGGCCGCGTGGGTATCGTTTTCGGGGAGTCCCCAGTCACGGTTTTGGTCTCTTTTTTTCAAATGTGTTGTCTTTTCCTTACTAATTTGTAGTTCTTCTCTATATTTTTCTTACCAGCTTTTTGTCTATGTTCTTTCTTTCTTTCTTTCTTTCTTTTTTTTTTTTTCTGAGACAAAGTCTCGCTTTGTTGCCCAGGCTGGAGTGCAGTGGTGCAATCTCAATCTTGGCTCACTGCAACCTTCACCTCTCGAGTTCAAACAATTCTCCTGCCTCAGCCTCCCGAGCAGCTGGGATTACAGGCATGTGCCACCACGCCCAACTAATTTTTGTATTTTCAGTAGAGACGGAGTTTTGAGATGTTGGCCAAGCTGGCTTTGAACTCCTGACCTCAGGTGATCCACTTGCTTTGGCCTCCCAAAGTGCTGGAATTACAGGTGTGAGCCACTGCAACCTGCCTGATATGTTTTCTGATGATCTCCTAGCCTGTGACTTATGATTTCGCTTTCTTGGTAAAGTTCTTAATTTTAATGAAACCCATTTGCTCAATCTTTTATTGCAAGTATTTTTTGTTCATTTTTAAGAAATCTTTTCCCATCCAAGGTCATGCCAGTATTCCCGTTTTCTTCCAGAAGCTTGACTGATTGATTTAACCTTTCACACTTAGGCCTGCAATCCATCTCACATTCATTTCCCTGTATGAGAAATGGAGATTGCAGAGCCCTCCCTCTCCTAACTTTACATGTTTTTCTATTTGGACATTTAAAGTCCGTAGCTACTAGTTTTGCAATCTGAAGAAAACTTTTTAAAAATGTACAAGTGAAAAAAAAAACGAGAAAGGACTCAGGGGTAAGTGGGCCCCACCTGTGCACAGATAAGAAAGTGAGGCCTGGGGGGTGCACTGGGCAGGCAGGCAGAGCCCAGGACTCCCAGCTCTGTCCACTGCCGACCTCTGCCCCAGGGGCTGCCCTCCTGTGTTCCAGCTTTCAGAAAAGCCCAGTCCATCCCAGAGGCCACAGGACCTACAGTGAGGCGGGGGCAGGGGTCCTGCTGGGGCATGTGGGGGTGGGGGAGGGAGGTTGGGGCGGCTCGTCTGGTGGCACTCGAGTCCTCCTGCAGAGCTGGTGACTTCCAGAGAGTCCTCAGGAGTCAGAGGGCAGTGGGGGGCCCACGTGACTCTGTGGGAACGGCCATCACAATGGCCTCGTGGGAGCAGAAGGGGTTGCCTGACTTGCATCTTTAACAGGCTTCTTTCCCCACAGGCTGAGCTGGTTGCCCACAGGTGCCCCCGCCCCATCTCAGGGAGTGGCCACCCAGCCCTGAGCTGATCCTGAGGGGTCAGAGATGGCGCTGACCCCCGAGTCCCCGAGCAGCTTCCCTGGACTGGCTGCCACCAGCAGCTCTGTGCCGGAGCAGCCTGGCAGCCCCAACGCAACCCTCAACAGCTCCTGGGCCAACCCGACGGATTCCAGCTCCCTGGAGGACCTGGTGGCCACGGGTGCCATTGGGACTCTGCTGTCAGCCATGGGCGTGGTGGGTGTGGTGGGCAACGCCTACACGCTGGTGGTCACCTGCCGCTCCCTGCGCGCGGTGGCCTCCATGTACATCTACGTGGTCAACCTGGCGCTGGCTGACCTGCTGTACCTGCTCAGCATCCCCTTCATCGTGGCCACCTACATCACCAAGGAGTGGCACTTCGGGGATGTGGGCTGCCGCGTGCTCTTCAGCCTGGACTTCCTGACCATGCACGCCAGCATCTTCACGCTGACCGTCATGAGCAGCGAGCGCTACGCCGCGGTGCTGCGGCCGCTGGACACCGTGCAGCGCCCCAAGGGCTACCGCAAGCTGCTGGCGCTGGGCACCTGGCTGCTGGCGCTGCTGCTGACGCTGCCCGTGATGCTGGCCATGCGGTTGGTGCGCCGGGGCCCCAAGAGCCTGTGCCTGCCCGCCTGGGGCCCGCGCGCCCACCGCGCCTACCTGACGCTGCTCTTCGCCACCAGCGTCGCGGGGCCCGGGCTGCTCATCGGGCTACTCTACGCGCGTCTGGCCCGCGCCTACCGCCGCTCGCAGCGCGCCTCCTTCAAGCGGGCCCGGCGGCCGGGGGCGCGCGCGCTGCGCCTGGTGCTGGGCATCGTGCTGCTCTTCTGGGCCTGCTTCCTGCCCTTCTGGCTGTGGCAGCTGCTCGCCCAGTACCGCGAGGCCCCGCTGGCGCCGCGGACGGCGCGCATCGTCAACTACCTGACTACCTGCCTCACCTACGGCAACAGCTGCGCCAACCCCTTCCTCTACACGCTGCTCACCAGGAACTACCGCGACCACCTACGCGGCCGCGTGCGGAACCCGGGCAGCGGCGGAGTCCGGGGGCCCGTTCCCTCCCTGCAGCCCCGCGCCCGCTTCCAGCGCGGTTCCGGCCGCTCCCTGTCTTCCTGCAGCCCGCAGCCCACTGAGAGCCTCGTGCTGGCCCCGGCGGCCCCGGCCGGACCTGCGCTTGAGAGTCCCAGGGACCCGGCGTGAGCACGCGGAGGGGCGGCTGGAGTCCAGGCGGGGACGGGCCCCAAAGCCTTAGCCACTACCGGGAGCCCCTCCACAGAGCCCCCCGGCTCCGAAATCACAGGTCCTGCCCCTCCTCCTCAGTCCCCTTCCAGAAAGATCCTGCTTGCTTCCCCTCAGTGCCCTCCCCGTGATGCCCAGAAGCACCCACCCGCCCCCCTGAGGGTCTCCAGGAGGCTCCAGCCCAGTCCCGGCTTCTGGAGATGGAGGGCAGCAGGCACCAGTGCCCGGCCCGTGTGGAGACCATGGCGCGGCTGCCGCCCCCGGGACCCTCCTCCTCTCAGCCAGCGTCCCCGAGGCTCCCGTCCCAGCCTGTGTGGCTCCATCCCTTATGGCTTTGCCACTGGAACAATCAACCCTGAGCTGGCTTCCGTGTCCTGCCTCAGCGTGGGGGATGCCAGGTCTGAGGGGTGGGAGCATTCACAGGCAGGACCCCCAGGATGACACAGGCAGCTCAAGGAGGAGCCTGTGGGTCTGGCTGGGGTGGGGGGTGCACCTGCCTTTGAGGTCTGTGCAGGCGGCTGGTGTGGCACTTGATATGGGGCAGGGAAGGTGGCCAGGAGGGGAGGCTCTGGCAGCGTGGGCTGAGGGGTGGAGCAGGGGGAAGGCACTGCCCAGCAGAGGCCTGAGGCTTCAGGTGCAGAACCCAAGAGGCCAGGGTCACTGGCTGCACCTACGGCCCCCTGGCCTCTCATCCACGTCTGGCTCCGGTCTGATCAGGAACGGAATCCAGGTCCCGCCTCACAGTACCCTTGGCAGTCTCTGCCCCACTCACCCCTCAGTGCCTCCTGGACAGACTTCCTGCCCCTGCTCTCAGCTTGGCCAACCATCCTCTCTCTGGCAACTGGCCCCCTCCAGCCCCTAGCCCAGGCCCCGGACCCTGCACAGCCTCCCCCAGCCTGGCCTCCCCTCCCCACGCCATGCCCAGACTACCAGCCCCTTGGGGCTCCATCTGAACACTGGGGCGGGGGTCATGCCCACTTGGTCCCTCCAGCGCCCGCCCCTCCGTGGAGTGAGCACAGCTCTGCTGGCAGGACTGTTGCAGGCGTCGGGAATGAGCATATGCAGCCCTGTCCCCAGGGCCTCCCGGAAGAGGGGCAATGCTTGTCGGTCTCCCCTGGAGTGATGAAAGTGCTCTGGAACTAGACGCCGGTGGCTGGGCGACACTGTGAACAAGCCAGTGCCACAGAACTGTGCCCCTGAATGTGCGAGTTCTGTTGTGAGTGTTTTACCTTAAAAACAAAAAGATCCCACTCCCCAACCTTGTCCCTCTGTTAAAATTGAAATAGAGATGGATGTACGTCCCACTCCTGAATACATGTAAAATGTGTACAAAAATACCTTCTATGAAAGTGGTTCATAATCTGTAGATTGTAATCTGGGATTTGTAATCTGTAGATTGTAATCTGGGAGATGTCTTAGATGTAAAATCCCATCTTTGGGTTGTGCGTTTTTTGCTTTCTCCAAATAAATCTGATCTTTAAAATTCAAAAGAAAAAAAGAAAAAAGAAAAATAAAAGAAGGCTGGGTGCGGTGGCTCATGCCTGTAATTCCAGCACTTTGGGAGGCTGAGGCAGGTGTATCATGAGGTCGGGAGTACAAGACCAGCCCGTCCAAGATGGTGAAACCCCATCTCTACTAAAAATACAACAAAACTAGCTGGGCGCAGTGGCAGGCGCCTGTAATCCCAGCTACTCAGGAGGCTGAAGCAGGAGAATCGCTTGAACCTGGGCAGCAGAGGTTGCAGTGAGCTGAGATTGCGCCGTTGCACTCCAGCCTGGGCGACAGAGTGAGACCCTGTTTTTAAAAAAAAGAAAAAGAAAAGAAAAAAAGAAAGCGATTTGCTGCTAAAATCACCCGGGGAGCAGGCAGCTCTGCGGAGGTGGAACAAGGCTGAAGACACCCCTTCCAGAGGCTCCGAGGAGCCACCCCAGCCTCACATTCCCACAGCATCTCTGATGCAGAAAGAGAGCTTTGGGGGTTGGAGGTGCTTTGTCTTTCTCAACCCAAGCCTGATTCCTAAAGCTGCTGTCTTTGTAGAGAAGCAAAATTAAAATTAAACATCTGACAGCCAGAGCTGGTCCCTGGCGGTTCCAGCTGGCACTGTCCTCACCTGACACGCAGACTCTCGGCAGCAGCCCAGACAGCGGGGCACAGGACGTGGGGAGACTCCACGCTTAACTTCTTGCCTACCGCCTTCCGGTCTGCCGGCACCAACACAGCTTCTGCGCTGAGCACCTGCCTGCGGCGTGGGGCCCAGGGTGGTGACCGGCAGCGGCTGTATCATGGCAGCTGCTCACTGCTCCTGGCCCCCCACTTTTCCAGGAGACCCCCCACTTCTGTGGAAGGCCCCCCACGTCTTCAGAGCCAAGAAGCTCCAGAGGAAGGAATTTCTGGAGAAACATGGTCCCCTCCATGACCCCCTGGACTCCAAGTTAGAACACAGCTGAAGACTCGGGTCCCAGGAGGGGACCATCACCTTGATGATGATCCATCCACCTTGGCCTCCCAAAGTGCTAGGATTACAGGCATGAGCAACTGCCCCCGGCCTAATATTTCTTATAACTAGTTGCATTTTCTCTCAGCTTTGTTACCTGGGAAGGGGGAGAAACAAAACATTTAAAATTAAAAAAATCAGGCGGGGCACGGTGGCCCACGCCTGTAATCCCAGCACTTTGGGAGGCCGAGGCAGGCGGATCACAAGGTCAGAGATCGAGATCATCCTGCTAACACAGCGAAATCTAAGTAATGGATTCTGAGAAACCAGAGCAGCGAGGCTCTCAGAAAACCACGAAAAGCCACCATAAAACAAGGAGCAGGCAGAGGCCGGGAAGGGAGACCTGAAGACCTGGGCGCTAAAACAAAGCACTGGCTGGAAGGCTGGCAGGTGGAACCGCAGTTCCTCCCGGAGGAGCGCCTGGTTCTGGGAGGGAGTCCCCCCGCCCTGAGCCCTACTCTGGTTTTCAATGCCTCTTGTTGAAGAACCTCGAAGATGCAGAGGTGGGCACACACAGCACAGTGGACCCCAGATCACAAGGGGAGCGTTCTCTTCGGTGCCTGCTTCCCCTGTCTGGGTGTGGACGGGGCAGCAGTGGGCGCCCCTGTGCAGCCCCCAGCCCCAGCCCCATCCTCATCAACACGTCATCCAGTCGCCATGCGCCACGCCTGTGCATCACCCCGCCTGCTGGCGACCCCGCAGTGCACCTGCCTTCTGCCCTGGGGGCCTCCATAGCAATGATGTCAGTGACAAGTAGCTCTGTAAGCAGCAGCACCGGCCCCCTGCCTCCCAGGACACACATGGTCCCACACACCACTGCAGACTCACACCCACTCACACTCACACCACCGCAGACTCACACCCACTCACACTCACACCACCGCAGACTCACACCCACTCCCCTCACACCACCTCAGTCCCACCCTCCACCACCACCGCCCCAGACTCACACCCTCACCTCTTCCACCGCAGACTCACACCCAGTCACCTCACACCACCTCAGGCTCACACCCACTCACACACCACCGCAGACTCACACCCACTCACACTCACACCACCGCAGACTCACACCCACTCACACCACTGCAGATTCACACCCACTCACACTCACACCACTGCAGATTCACACCCACTCACACCCACACCACGCAGACACACACCCACTCACACACTCACACCACCGCAGGCTCACACCCACTCACACTCACACCACCACAGACTCACACCCAGTCACACTCACACCACTGCAGGCTCACACCCACTCACACTCACACCACTGCAGACTCACACCCTCACCTCACACCACTGCAGGCTCACACCCACTCACCACCGCAAACTCACACCCTCACCTCCCACACCACCGCAGAGCTCCACACCTCCGCAGACTCACACCACACTCACACACTCACACCACCGCAGACTCACACCCTCACACTCACACCGCAGACTCCCACCGCACCCACACCCACAGCCCTGCCCACCAAGCCTCCATTGTTTCAAGGTCCCGAGGAGCCCGTCAGGCCTGTCAGCTGCTTTGCGCTCTCGCTCTGTGTTCTGTCTTTGGCACATTTCCTAGGCACCAAAAGTCTCTGCCAGGAACCCTCCCGGTACAGCAGGTGGAGTTCTGTCGGGGAAGACACCACCGCAGACTCACACCCACTCACACTCACACCACCGCAGACTCCCACCCACACCCACACCCACAGCCCTGCCCCACCAAGCCTCCATTGTTTCAGGGTCCCCGGAGCCCGTCAGGCCTGTCAGCTGCTTTGCGCTCTCGCTCTGTGTTCTGTCTTTGGCACATTTCCTAGGCACCAAAAGTCTCTGCCAGGAACCCTCCGGCAGGGAGTGCAGCCCAGGTGGAGTTCTGTCCCGGGGAAAGGGTACTGAGGACAGCACCCTCAAACTCAGATGGAATTTTATATGTAAATGCCGGGTATAAAGTCACAACGAGTGAAGAGGAAGTAGCAGTGAATATATTCTAAACTGAGAAGCAGGGGCTGGACATGGTGGCTCACGCCTGTAATCCCAGCACTTTGGGAGGCTGAGGCAGGCAGATCACCTGAGGTCAGGAGTTTGAGACCAGCCTGGCCAGCATGGTGAAACCCCGTCTCTACCAAAATACAAAAATTAGCCAGGTGTGGTGGTGGGCGCCTGTAATCCCAGCTACTCGGGAGGCTGAGGGAAGAGAATCGCTTGAACCCGGGAGGCAGAGGTTGCAGTGAGCTGAGATCACACCACTGCACTGCAGCCTGGGCGACAGAGAGAGACTCCATCCTGAAAAAAAAAGAGAAGCAGAAAGGTTATTGAATGATTATTGAAAGTATGACCTGGCACCTAGAACCGTCAGAGACATAGAGAGAAATGTGACTTCAGGAGTCAGAATTCCGATGCAGAAAGGACAACTCAACACCAAAGCGGAGACCGCGCTGGACGGAACGCCCTGGCTCTGCCGTAACTCTCTCTCCAGCCATTTCACTTCTAGGATTTTATCTGAAATTTAAAAATCAGACGTGGATCAAGATGTGTGCACAAAGGTGCTCGCTTCAGCATCATTTTGAAAACCACAGGCACCATGGAATTTTCCACAGCTGGTAAATAGATTATGACGTGAGCAGTGGAGGATTTTGTGTATCTTCAGAGAATAGCAAAGCTCCGTTCCGAAGTGTCCTTAACAGGACGGATCCAAGGCATGACGGCCAATGAGGGAAGCTGGAAAGTGAAACCGAGTGACTTAATCCACGTTTCATTTGAAACAAACAAGAATGTGTGTGTGGATATGTGGTGAAAGTGTGGCGTTTCAAGTGTGGCGTGTGTGACTGTGACCCTGTGTTGTATGCACACATGGCTGTGTAGACATGTGGCTGTGTGTGACTGTGACCCTGTGTTGTATGCACACATGGCTGTGTAGGCATGTGTGGGCGCATGCGTGTGCATGTATGCATCAAAGCTTGACAGGGACACTTTAAAATAGTAACAGTGGGCCGGTCACGGTGGCTCACGCCTGTAATCTCAGCACGTTGGGAGGCCAAGGCGGGTGGATCACGAGGTCAGGAGTTCAAGACCAGCCTAGACAACATGGTGAAACCCCATCTCTACTAAAAATACAAAAATTGGCCAGGTGTGGTGGCACATGCCTGTAATCCCAGCTGCTTGGGAGGCTGAGGCAGGAGAATCACTTGAACCCAGGAGGCAGAGGTTGCAGTGAGCAGAGATCACATCACTGCACTCCAGCCTGGGAGACAGAGCGAGACTCCATCTCAAAAAAAAAAAAAAGAAAAAAAAGAAAAGAAAGAAAAAAGCAACAGTGTTAGCCCTTGGTAGGAAATTTTAGGTAGTTTTTTTGTTTTTTGTTTTTTTACTTTTTATACTTTTGAGTTGTTTCCAGATTTCTCCCAAAAGGTATACACAGCTTTAAAATCAGGATGGTTACCAAATTTTTTAAAGATGGGGTCTTGCTCTGTTGCCCAGGCTGGAGTGCAGTGGTGTGATCTTGGCTCACTGCAGCCTCCACCTCCTGGGTTCAGGTGATCTTCCCACCTCAGCCTCCTAAGTAGCTGGGATTACAGGCACGTGCCACCACACCCAGCTAATTTTTGTATTTTTTTGTAGAGACAAGGGTCTCCCTATGTTGCTCAGGCTGGTCTCAAACTCCTGGGCTCAAGTGATCCCCCCACCTCAGCCTCCCGAAGTGCTGAGATTCCAGGCGTGAGCCACTACTCCCGGTCTATTAAAAAGTTTGAATGTGTGAGGCCTTCATGGTTGCCTCAAACGTAGCCAGGCCTGGGGCGGTGAGTGCTGTGCGTCTCCTGCACACGGGGCTGTCGGGCGCCTGCCTTGGAGGAGGAGGAGGATGTGGTATGCAAGAGTCTGGCAGCTGGGGAGGTCAGAGCTGGGTCCAGGCCCGCGTGTCCATCTACGCATGCCCCTGCCCTCTGCACCACCCCTGGAGGCTCTTCTCCTCCTCTCCCCTCCTCCCCTCCCTCCCCAGGCCCTGCCCTTTCCTGGCACCCAACTCCCTTACTCAGACCTCATCCAGCCCCCCGCCGAGCCC